TCCTGAGGAGGGCTTGATCCCCACTCTGCCTCAGAGTCGGCACCCATGTTTGAAGGCCAGGAAACTGCTACACTATTCACAAGCCCGGCCAGGTTCTTTTTAAACCAGTCAATTTCGGTATGAAACTCCTGAAAATTGATGGGAAAAAATACCCCATGGCCGTGAACGGAAATGCACAGCCAACCAACAGGGGGAAACCATTGAAAGGCCGGAAAAACAAAATAAACTAGAAGTGGGAGGAGAGCAACCCCCAGACGGGCAGCAGGGAGAGGAGCAGATAGGCTGGTGACAGAGAGAGCGGCCGGCAGACAGATGCTTTTTCCAGCAGAAGCAGGAGTTTTTTCACAGCTGAGAACCACTGAAAAATGTGTCTTGGGCACGGGGCTAAAAATAGTTGTGCTAATGAAGGAGAAATTAGGGCTAGCATCTGCGGACTTGGCAGACTAAAGTTAGACTCCTGAATTGCCCCTAAATAGAGCTGGCCTGGTTTTCTGAGGCCACGTGCGGAAGGGAGGAGCCCATAGCTGGCCTCAGGCAGGGTGTGCTGGTTTGCAAGTACTCCCCAGGAGTGCCAATATGACCCATGACAAATGAAATCAAATGGGATCTTGCCATGGGCTGGGACTTAGCAAAGGCTACCACCAGCTCCTGAGCCATCTGCGGGGACTGGGAAAACACAAGCCCAGGGAAAAGATAGTTTGAACTTCCCTTGCTTCTTGCTGCTCCCTGCAGGGCGGGTGTGATGGCGGTTGCTGCTGTCTGTCTTGGGCCTGGTTTGGAGTGGAGGGGAGGTATCAAAGGGTACATCTACACAGCACACGTATTTTGGAATCAGCTATTCCAGAAGAAACACTCCGAAATAGCTTATTTCGAAATAGCGCGTCTACGCTACAGGAAAGCCTCAAAATTAGTCCGAGGCAGGCTCCCCTAATGTGGACACACTACCTCGATTTAGAGCCCCAGGAAGCACAAGGGAGTAATTACTTTGAATGGCTTTGGGGAAGAGTCGAAACAGCTATTTCGGAAGAGGCGTTATTCCCTGTGCAATGAGGGTTACAGACGTCGGACTAAGCCGCCCGTTATTTTGAATGGATTTCGAAATAGCGGAATTGCCGTGTAGACGCTCGCGTTGTTATTCCGATGTAACGCTGCTGTGTAGCCGCACCCAGAAAGAACCTGCTTCTTCAGGGCACTTCAGGTGCTTCTGAACCTGGGGATATTGCATTTGCATGGGTCCCAGACTGGAGATCTGATAGAAACTAGGCAAGACCGAGAGGCCTGCTTCACAGAGACATCCCCCTTACGAAACTAGTCAGTCCCCAAGCCCACCGCGGAACGGGTTCCCACGTTCCCCCTCGGAGCCTGGAGCTGCTCTTGTTTTCTAGTCCTCTGTCCCTCCCCGTTCTCCCCTTCGCAACCCATGTGCAACCACAAGAGTTCCCGTCACAGCTCACCCACTTTATTCCCCATCCTCACACGAGGCCCCGGGTCTGAGGCAACACCGTTTGAGGGAGGCAGCTGTAAGGCAGGGGCGGGGAACCTCTTCTGGGACCACGGACCCTTAGAAAAATCAATCAGGGGCCACAAGTGAGAAGCGAAAAAACCCACCTCACTGACAAGGCCCCCAATGGAGAAGCAGAAAGAGCCTCCCCCATATTCCCCTCACATGCCAGAGCCGAGCGGGGCCCAGGCTAGTAGATTTTGTGGGAGAAAAGCCTCCAGGCAGCGCCAGCTGCGGGGAGGGGAAGCAGAAGCACATGAAGCCGATTCCTCCCCACACCAGGCAGAGCCTGCGGGTCGGATCCATCTCTGGCTTGCCATGACTCCGGCCTGCCAGGGGCTCCTCTCCCCGCAGTGGGGAGCTGGCACTGGTGCTTCTGCCTCGCAGGCGGAGCTGTGAGGGGTGGGTCTGGAGCACTAGCATTGGGGGGAACCCCTCCAAGCAAGCTGGGGCTGCACCATGCATTCCCCACCCCCTGCTCAAACTGTCGGCTTTGGGTTAGCTCCTTCCTCCCCGTGTAGTTCTGGGCCCACTTGATGATCCTGGTCTCTTCCCCCAAGCTGGCTGTGCCAAAAGAGGAACCATGACCCCCAGCTGTCTCCCCAGTGGGGCTTGGGGTTATTTTAGGCTTTGAGAAAAGAGGAAGATTGTGTATGGTGACGGCAGTTTTGAGGAGCAGGAAGGCGATTCCCTTGCAGTGGAGCAATGAGGGGTGTCAGGAGGTCTGAGAAAGAGGAACGCCTCTGGCCGTCATGGGGGCACTTCCCTCTGGGCTCCTGCCTAAAAGGTGGAGGTCGCAGCCTCCCGGCATGATGCAGAGAGAAGTTGAGGCGCTAAACAAAGAAAAGAGGATCTAGCTCACCTGATGCACAAGGGGGATTTTCCAGCCAGTAAAAGCAGTGACTTCCCAAAGATCAAAGTGGCGAACTTATGACCCGGGGGCTGGATCAGACCCCCGGCTTGTCTGGATCCGGCCCCTGAGGCTCCTGTACCCTCCCTCTTGCCCACACCCTAAGCTCACTTCCTGGCAGCCCCCTCCCACACACTGAACCTTTTGACCCCACTCCAGAGCCTCGAGGGACCCACAAAATCTACTAGTTTCCCCCCCCCCTCCGGGGCTCTGGTGTGCAAGGGGAATGTGGAGAGGATCCTTCTGTTTCTCAGTCAGGGCCACGTCAATGATTTTTTTTTTGCATCTCACTTTAGTGCAGTCCCCAATGGATTTTTCTATGGCCCCAAAAAGTTCCCCAGCCCTGCAATAGATCCAGCTGGTGTTACCTCTGCTCCACCTCTTGCCCCAAGGTGACACCGTTCTAAGCATCACGCCTAGAACCAGTAATGAGGAGGAGTCCCTCCTCCGTGGGGAACTAAATTGAGTTCCCGGGTGGATGAGCAATTAAAAACCCAGCTCCGGTTTGCTCACTGTGATCTTTAACCGTATCGTAGAATCGAACAGTGGGAGTTGGTACTGGGTTCCAGGAACATTTTTCCTCCCCCTCACTAGCCATTGTCATCACCGCCCCAGAGAGGGCTGCATGTCAGTGGTGTTGCTTGAACATAGGGCCTGGTCTTGGGAGATCTGGGGGTGATCTGCGAGTCTGAGGACCTAGTTCTTTATCTGAGCACAAATAACAAGGTAGCTTCCCAAAGTGGCCTTTTCTTTTCTTCCCTGAGCTGTCTCTTTGCCTGCAGACGGACATCACAGCAGCGGGCACACGAGCAGTTATGTGGAGGGGGGAACAATAAACGTTTTTTTAAATCCACTTTTAATTTCACTTTTGTTTGCCTGTTGAGTCTAAGAACATCTTCCTTACCGAGGCACAGAGGTGTACGGATTCTCTGCGGCAGCACAACAGAGATCACAGAAGGTGGATGCTGGCTTATGCTCGACAGGGTTATTAGAGGTCAAAGAAAAGGGTATGGTTCATAAACATAACGGGCTTGCTTTGTTGTTAAAACGTTTCAGATCTGCCCTGGGAGCAGTATGGGTACATCTATACTACATGGCTCTGTCGACGGAGCCATGTAGATTTGTTTGTTCGGCAAAGGGAAATGAAGCCGCGATTTAAATAATTGCGGCTTCAATTAAATTTAAATGGCTGCCACGCTCTGCCGATCAGCTGTTTGTTGGCAGATTGGGGCAGTCTGGACGCTCCCCTGCTGACATGAAAGCCCTTTATCGACCTCCCTGGTAAACCTCATCCTATGAGGCATAACGGGGAGGTCGATAAAGGGCTTGCAGGTCAGCGC